CTCTCTCTCTCTCTCTCTGTCTTTCCCTTCTTCTGTAATTCTGCCTTTTGATTTGAAAAATATACATATAAACAAACAAACAAAGCCCAGACTCTGTCCCTCTGCACCTAGAAGGTTACGACTGAACCCGCATCTCGAAGGCGGTGAGAACTCCATCGCAGCAATAAAGGAACCCGGGGTTCAAGTCCCAGCTCCGCCACGCACTCACGGTGTGACTGGGGCAAGTTATGTGAGCTCTGTGTGCTGAGGGCGCCTCTTCTGAGGCTGGCTGAGAGCCGAGCGAGTTCACCTGTGTGGGGCCCTGGACTCAGCACCCCGGGAGGGTGGGCTCCGCCCCGTGCTTCCCACAGCACGTGTGAGTCCACCGTCACCCATTCTGCACTGTGTTCCCTTGTGCACGCCTCGTGTGTGGGGACGCGCAGTAAACCAGGCAGAGCGCCCGGGGGCGCAGAGGCCAACCCGGAAACCCGAGCGGTGTTTTGTCAGTGGAGAAAGCAGCATCAGGGAGCTGGAGCTGCAGGTGCAAAGGCCCTGGGGTGGCAGCAAAGCTGGGGAGGCTGAATGAGGGGACTGGGAAGGGACAACGTGGCCTTGGAGCCAGATCACGCTGGCCCGGGGTGAGGGGGCGGAGCCACGTGTGTGTGGACATAGCCGCTTATGGATTTATAGAGCTCTGAACCAAGGAGGGGGTAAACAGGTCTTTGTAGGGCATCACATGGGGGCAGCCCGGCCTCACCTCTCATCTTGTTTATTTATTTTTTTAAGATTTATTTTATTTATTTGAAAGACAAATAAGAGAGGTGGTGGAGGGAGAGAGAGAGGTCTTCCATCCGATGGTTCACTCCCCAGATGGCCACAATGGCCGGAGCTGTGCCGATCTGAAGCCAGGAGCCAGGAGCTTCTTCCGGTCTCCCATGCAGGTGCAGGGGCCCAAGGACTTGGGCCATCTTCTACTGCTTTCCCAGGCCACAGCAGAGAGCTGGATCGGAAGAGGAGCAGCCGGGACTCGAACCAGCGCCCATACGGGATGCCGGCACTGCAGGCAGCAGCTTTACCTGCTGTGCCACGGCACCAGGCTCCCTTCCTTCCTTCTTCCCTTCCCTCCCCTCCCCTCCCCTCCCCTTCCTTTTCTTTCTCTAATGAGGGAATGATTCTCGTGGTGCTCCTGAGATTGACAATATTGAAAGTAAGGAGGAGCGAGGACACCCCGGAGCGCTGCCTGCCAACACACCCCCACCCCAGCTCGGGGGACTCCCGGGAGCGGTCCCCTGCCACTGTGTGTGCCCAGAGGTAGCCCTGGCCCCGTTGGCCGGCCTGGACGCTCACACCAAGGTTGGCTTTGCGGCTGCTTTACTTCCTGGACTCGGTTTAAAGAAAGTCCCCAGGGAGGAGCGAGTGCTGGGCAGACCCTGCACACACACACACAGCCCCGCTCCGCCTCGGAGCAGAACTGCTGGGGACAGAGGAAGAACAAGAACGCAGCAGGCCGGGGCTCGGCCGGAGTGCCAGGAGCCCCGTGGAATCAGAGGAAACACCAGGACCAGTCACGGAAGACGCCCCGGGGAGCAGGTGTCCCGCCTGAAAGACCAAGGTGGGCGGAGCAGCCGCCGGGACTGTGGCTGTGGCTGTGGCCGGGGGTGACCACAGAGCGCTGACCCCACGACTTCCCGGATTCTGCGCACAGCCGTGGTTTGCTGAGAGGCCGACCTTGGCCTTGGGTGCGGGTGTGGGGAGAAAGCGGGACACCTGCAGGGCCTCCATGACGAGCCCCCCCCCCTTTACACTTTCCTGTCGCTCTCTCAGGCTGAAATTCCCTCCAAAGGAAAAGTTGACATCTTACACAAAGTCCCGCCCCCGCCTACTCCCTTCACCCCAATTCCACCTCCTGCAGCCCCCAGGGGACCACTTTTATTAATTATTTAGTTAATTTTGAGATTCTTTTTAAAATAGATGTATTTACTTATTTGAAAGACAGAGTTACAGGGTAGGGAGAGTTTTTTTATTTTTAAGATTTATTTATTTATTTGAAAGGCAGAGTTACAGAGAGAGAAGGAGAGGCAGAGAGAGAGAGAGAGAGAGAGAGAGAGAGAGGTCTTCCATCTGCTGGTTTACTCCCCAATTGGCTGGAGCTGTGCCAATCCTAAGCCAGGAGCCAGGAGCTGCTTCTGGATCTCCCATGTGGGTGCAGGGGCCCAAGCACTTGGGCCATCTTCTACTGCCTTCCCAGGCCACAGCAGAGAGCTGGATTGGAAGTGGAGCAGCCGGGACTTGAACCGGCGCCCATATGGGATGCTGCTGTGCCACAGTGCCGGCCCCCCAGTCTCCACACCAAGGCCACCACTGCCCTAGGCCACTGTCACCTGTCTCTCACCTCCTGTCTTGCATTTTCTCCTCCCCTGACCCTCTCTCATCCCTTCTTCCCACTGGCAGGGAACCTTTGTCCAAGGTCAAGAGGGCCCCGGGCAGCCCTCCCCTCTCCCCCAGCTTAAAGGCCCTGGTGGCTGTCCCCTGGGCTTGGGACTGAAGTCCCAACTCCCCCGTGCCCGTGGGCTCTGCAGGGCGGGGGGGACCTCCCCCGGCCACCGCACCCCCCGGTGCGTGCCAGCCGCTCTGTCCCTCCCCCACCTCTTCCTACTGGGCGCCGGCCCCTGGGTCGGGCCCTGCCCCGGGTCCCAGCCCTGCCCCTGGGTCGGGCCCTGCCCCTGGGTCAGGGAGCCCCGCCCCGCCCCGCCGTCCTCCAGCGGCTTTCATTCCATCCTAGCTCCATCTCTGCAGGAAGCCGGCTTGTTTGTTTTCTGTCTCCTGGGCTAGAAGTTTCGTGAGCGCAGGGACTGTCTGGCTTATTCCCAGCTGTCACCCGGGCCTAGAACGGCGTCCGGCACACACAGTGCCCGTCAGGCTCACGGAAGGAAGGCAGGCACGGATGGATAGACGGACGGATGTTTCTCCACAGTCCCCAAGAGGGGCAGAGCCGTGCTCCAGTTACCCTGAGAGTCAAGGGCAGGAGGCGGGCCCACCTGTCTCCCAGGATGACCGGCCAGGGCTTGGGGATCGTGGGCAGCGGCGTCTCAGGCCAGCGCTCAGGGCGGTGTGGTCATGCGTCCACCAGGCTCAGCGCCCGCTGTGGGTGCGTGGAGCGACCTCCAGGGGCCTAAGGGACACACGGGCCTGCAGCAACTCGGTGCCCAGCCCCCATCCACCCGGCTCCCTAACTTCCCTTCAGGGAGGCTGGCCACAATTTGGCGATTGTTCCAGAGAACTTTTTTTCCCTTTTGGGAGGAAAGCTGCAAGTCATTAGGGCTGCTCCCGGCCTGCGGGTCACCATTTCCTGTTTAGAAGAAAGAATCATCTCTCGCTGGAACACGCGGCTCCCCCCAGCCGGGCTCCGGGGCTCCTGCCCCGCTCCCCACAGGAAGCTGGCACCTTCAGCACCTTTTGTGCTCGGCAAGGTCACTCATTTTCTCCTGGCCCCGGGAGGCCCCAGCGGCGAGGTCACCACAGCCGCAGCCTCCGCGCAGGAAGCTCAATGACCCCTACCCTTTGGCCTGGCTTCTCACCCTCCTGGCTCCAGCCAGCCAATTTCCTCGCATCAAAGGCCATTTGGTACCCAGCAGCCAGACGGAGGTGTGGGCCTGCCCAACAGGGAGGCCGGCGGGGCCAGCCCTTGGGCAGGAAGGACATCCTCTCTCCTTGGTGTGGGAGGAGCAGCCAGTCCCTGGCCCAGCAGCCACAAAGCCCGAACCGCGGCCTGCAGGCCTTCTGCTTGGGAAGGCCCCGGGGAGCCAGCTCGGCGCACTCCGGGCCTGGTCAGCTTCAAAACGCAAGAGTGAGGGGCTGGTGTCTTCTCACCATTAAGACGCCAGCTGGGGTGACCCAGTCCCCACACCAGGCCATCTGGGCCTGCTCCAAGCTTCCTGCTAATGCGGACCCTGGGAGGCAGCACGTGGTTCAAGTGACGGGGTCCCTGCCACCCACGTGGGAGACCTGGGTGCCTGGATGGCACTCCTGGCTCCCTCCCAGTCACTGGGGGCATTTGAGGGGGAAGCCAAATGGACGAAACGGATGGGAGCTGTTTCTGTCTCTCAAAAAAAGAAAGAAAGGGAGAAAGGGAGAGAGAGAGAGAGAAAGAGAGAGAGAAAAAGAAAGAAAGAAACAAAGAAAGAAAGAAAGAGAAAATCAGAGCAAGAATGGGCGAGCAGAGGCAGGGGCAGGTGTCACGTGGGGCGTTGACACCCACATCCAGGTACCTGGATTCCCATCTGCCTCCGCTTCCTATCCCAGCCTCCTGCCCGTGCACAGCCCGGGAGGCAGTAGGTGCCCGCGCAAGCAGCTGGGTTCCCGCCACCCGGGCAGGAAAACCTGCACTGAGCTTCAAGCTCCTGGCTTCAGCCCGGCCCAGCCCCAGCTGATGTGGGCGTCTGGGGAGGAAAGATCTCTGTCCGCCTGTCTTTCAAAGAAATACAAATTTAAAAAGAGGGCAGCACTGTGGTGTAGCCGGTAAAGCCTCCACCTGCAACACCAGCATCCCATATGGACACCGGTTCGAGTCCCAGCTGCTCCACTTCCCATCCAGCTCTCTGCTCATGGGCTGGGAAGGCAGCAGCAGATGGTCCCTGCCACCCAGGTGGGAGACCTGGATGAAGCTCCTGGCTCCTGGCCTCGGCCTAGCCCAGTCCTGGCTGTTGCAGCCATTTGGGGAGAGAACCAGGGGATGAAGATCTCTCTTTCAGAATGAATAAAGAAATTTTTATAAAATAACTTTAAAAGCTCTGCAGTGTTTAGAGCGCTGGGAACTCGCGGTGACCCTACCGCTCCCCCCGCCGAGTGTCCACAAACCTGCAGACGGACCAGGCCCGGGGGAGAGCAGTGGCAGGAAGTCCCCCCGGTGCCACCTGACACTTCGGAGGGCAAGACTGAAATGGCTTTGTCAGAAACCGACTCCAGGAGCTTCTCTCCCATTCCCGAGACATTCTGAAATGCCCACTCTTTGTAAGACCCAGTAGATGCGCTGTTATATATAAATTAACTGCTTTATTGAACATCAATAAACTGTACACAAACTGTACAAAACATAATACAAAATGTTGCTTGCGATATAAATACCAGTGTACCTTTAAAATGTAAACATCTTCCTCCAGGCCCACCTGCTGGGCCCCCAAAATAGTCCAGGGAGACACACGGGTCAGGCCGAGGGCCGCCGCGCAGGCCCTGGGAGGCACTGCTGCCCTGCCCGGGAAACAGGTGCCGCGGTGACAAACAGGAGGCTGACACAGCTGCCCGGGCCCGGGGGCACCTTGGGGTCTAGACACGTCTTCGCGTCGGCGCCCGCCCCCGCAGGACCCGGAGATGCAGCTGGGGGCGGATTACTGCATAGTTAGTCACACCTCGTGGAGGGTGGCGGGGGGCTGGGGCGTGAGGTCCTGTCCGTCTGTCGCTTTTGTCCTGCGGCTCTCAGCAGCTATATCCAAACCCCTCTGGATACGCAAACCCACAGAGGAAGGCCTGGTCCGGGAAGGGTCTCCCATCTGCCTGCCGGCCACAGGATCGGCCGGCCACGGAGGTGCCCACTGGAGCACCCAGAATGCAGAGGATGGAACCAGAGACCGGTTTTCGCCGCAGCCCCGTGGGGCGGCCGCAGCTGGGAGGAGGCGGGCTCCTGGGGCCGCGGCAGGGAGCAGGAGGCGGAGGGAGGCCCTGGGGTCAGCGGGGGCCCCCCGCACAGCCCGCCTCCTGGTGCTTGTGCAGCAGGGACATGCGGGAGAAGGTCCGTGCGCAGGCCTGGCACTGGTACTTCTTGACCTCCGAGTGCGTCTGCAGGTGGGCGCGCAGGTTGGAGCGGTCGGCGAAGGCGCGGCTGCAGAGTGAGCAGCAGAAGGGCTTCTCGCCTGCGGACAGAAAGCCAGGAGGAGCTGGTGAGACTCGAGGCAGAATGCCAAGCCGGCAAGAATCCCGTGACCCCGGGAAGACCAGGCCCGGGCCAGACACGCAGCTGGTACCTAAAGGCCTGGATCTGACCGGGAGTTCTGCGGCCTCCGCACTGTGCAACCTTGAGCAAGCTGTCTGGCTTCTCCGACCCTCCACTTTCTCATCTGTACAATGGGGCCACTCATCCCCCCCAAGCACACACACACAGGGGCAGGGTTAAGTACTAATCCGCATCAGTTCACTGCACGGGCAGTGCTTGGCCAGCACGGGGCCGGGCTGATGGAGGCTACTGCTGTTCCATCTTAGAGACGGGAAAACTGAGGCACGGGTGAAGGGGCAGGCTGAGGGTCACCCAGGACTGCAGCGCCCCCTGACTTTAACCGCGGGAGCCATCCGTCCAGAGGTCACTCGGGTTCACTTTGTCTTAACAGCCTGTTAAGGGGCTGCCCACCCCGCCCCAGGCGGGCGAGGCCTCTCCTCTGGCCCTGCGGCCACCCGCCTCCCTCCCAGCACCTACTGCACCACAGTAACCCCAGGTCTCCCGCTCTGACCCCAGTCAGCCTAGTCCAGGGCCTGGACTCCCAAGATTCTGCAGCCCTGACCCACCCCTGCCTGGCCAAGGCTGGGTTAGGACTGGGACGTGGGGCTGAGTATACAGCAAGTGCTCAGTAAGTGCTTGCCAAGTAAGTAAGTCTTAGAGAGGACCCGACCCTCATTCTCCAAGCACTCTTTCACACGCCTACCCCAAACAAGAACACACAGTCCCAGAGACACTGAAAGGCTGTCGGTGTTTCTGGGGGGCGTAGCCTTGTTCACGTCAAGGTCGCATTTCTCACTTATTAGACAGCCAGCGAGCTCTTCCGTGCACGTGGGGCTAACAGGTGCTGTGCTTGGGAACGGGCGCCCCTCGGCAGAAAGCAAGGTAGGCGCGGTGCTGAGGTTCGGCCGGCGGAGGGAGCCGTGGCTTGCGGAGCCCTCATCCCTCCCGGAGCGCTGGCTCCAGCTCCATCAGCTCCCGGCTCCTGCGTCCTGGGGGCAGCAGACAATGGCAAGTGTTTGGGACCCTGTCACCCACTTGGGAGGCCCAGCGGGGGCTCCAGGCTCCTGAATTCAGCCTGGCCCAGCCCTGACTACTGTGGGCACTTGATCAGTGAAATCAGTGGATGGGCTGCCTCTTGTCACTCCGCCTTTCCAAACGCCATCGGCATTGTGGCGCCGTGGGTTCAGCCACCACCTGCAAGGCCGGCATCTCATAGCGGAGCCAGTTCAGGTCCCGGCTGCTTCAGCAGCGGAAGACGGCCCAGCGCCTTGGACCCTTGCACCTTCCTGCACCTGTGGGAGACCCGGATGGAATTCTGGGCTCCTGGCTCTGGCCCGGCCCAGCCCTGGCTGTTCTGGTCATCTGGGGAGTGACCCAGGGGTTGGAAGATCTCTCACCCGCTCTGTTAGTAACTTTGCCTTTGAAGTGAATAAACAAGTCTCTCAAATAAATTCAAGAATATATATATACACACATACTCTGTAAATGAAGAAGCAAAATAAGTAAGTAACAAGTACTTAGTGGGGGAGCAGCAGACATATCGCTGGCAGCACACCGACTAAATCCCGGGACAGGAATCCAAGAGCCTAATCCAAGGACTTGATTCCATCACCCCAGGCGCCCGGGGCTCCGTGCAGGAGTGCCGGGCGGCTGGGGTACCGGGCCACTGGCCTGGCCGCTACACCTTCCTGCACACTGGGCCTGAGGGCAGGTGGCCCAGGTCCCGCGCCCTCGGGGCCGAGCACAGGGATCCGCAAGGGGGCAGAGCTGCCCCCACGCCCAGCAGGTCAGTGATCCGACAGAAACCTCAGCAGACGAGGAAGGGGACCTTGTAGGATGGGGGGGGTCCGTGCGCAGACCCCCACCCCTCACGGCTCCCCCGCCCCCCAGACGCCTTTATGTTGCTCCTGGCAAGTGTGAAATCGGCACCAGGCCGGCGGGGACAAAGGCCGCCAAGGGGGGCACTGTACATGCGATACCCCCGGATTAAAGGGCCAGCAGCTGCAGCCCGGAACAGGTGCTGGGCACCGCTGCCCCGTGCACCTGCTCTGCCCCTCCCAGCCCCCACCCACTGGGCCCACCATCAAGCACACAATGGGAGTCAACCGGTGCATTTCAACGGGGTTTTGTGTCTGAGCCGTGCCTTTACATTAAAATACTTGGGAGGGGAGAGAGGCCGGGCCCCAGGAGAGCACCCAGAGGGTCTCAATCCTCCCAAGTAGAGCCCCCATCAGCTGGGCGGGCACCCAGGAGGGAGGCCAGGCCACGGGCGCTGGCCAAGCTAAGCCCAGGGCTATCTGTGCGCGAAGCAAGGGACCGCGTCGCCCCACAGCGGAGTGACGGTGATGAGGACCGGCCAGATGCCAGGCCTCCCAGGCCAGGAAAGGACAGCCTCCAACCAGGCCAGCTTGACCCCAAGGCCATGGGTCGTGACCCTTGACCCTTCTCCTCAACAGCCATCCTGCAACCATCAGGCCCCAACACAGCAGCCCCCACCGCTCTGCCGACGAGGCGCTGCCTTGGCCCGCGCCCAGAAAACCTCCTACACATTCGGCAACACCCGGACAGATAGACGCACCGGGGTCTCTGCCCTGCGTGACGGCCTTGGGTGGGGGAGGGGAGGCGGCAGGGGTATCTTGATAGGCTTACAACACACTCACAGCCACCCTCCATAATCCTCTCAGGCTCAGAGAGGCCGAGTCGCCTGCCCAAGGTCACACAGCGCAGAGGCAGCACACGTACCAGCTCCCGCGCGAGCTACCCCGCGCTTCCCGGCCGGATGCATCCTTCCCGCTGAGCTACACCGGAGCCCCACGCCGCGCTCTCACGCTCGGCTTACAGGTGAGGAAACCGAGGCCCACGGTGGGACGCGGCAGCCCCAGCCCCCAGCAGGATTCAGGGCCGGGCCGGGTGGGGGTCTGACAACTTCCTGTCGGACCAGGGTGGGGCAGGGCGGCTCCCTCACACCTCGGCTCGCCGCTCTCCCGCGTCCGCTTGGTCTCCCTGCCCCTCTGCTGAGCCAGGCAGCCAGGCCCCTGGCCTGGACCGGGCCGGGTACTCACCGGTGTGCGTGCGCACGTGGCCCTGCAGCAGCCAGGGCCGGGAGAAGGCCTTGCCGCAGGTCGGGCACACGCAGGGCAGGGTGTGGCTGCGGAGGTGCATCTTCAGGGCGCCCAGGCTGACGTACTCCTTGCTGCAGTACTTGCAATGGAAGGCCTTGCGGGCCTGGGGGTCCTTGGCCCCCGGGAGCTGCGCCAGCTGCTGGGGCAGTTGGCCCAAGCCCGGGAAGGCCGCGTAGGCCTCGGCCTCCAGGGACGAGAGGGAGGTGGAGGAGAAGGAGGAGGGGGCCGGCGAGGGTGGGCTGGGCGGCTGGGAGCCCTTCCCGCTGTCCTCGTCCGACAGGGAGGTCAGCTCGCCCACCCTGGGGCTCTCCTGCAGCCGGAGGGAGGCCCAGCCCACGGGCTGGCCTTGGGGCGCCAGGAGAGAGTCCCAGATGAGCGTGGGCAGGGAGGCCGTGGGGTTGAGCACCTCGGGCGGCGGGATGGCTGCTAGCAGGTGGGCCTGGTCGTAGGGCTGCTGGAAGGCCAGTTCTGGGGAGAGAGAAGGCAGAGGGCAGTCGGTCAGTCAGTCAACAATCGTCAGCCCACGGGGAGCCCGGGGTCGCGGGGGGGGGGGGGGGGGGGGTGGGGTCCAGGGTTAATTGGGGAGGAAAAAGGAAAACCAGGGCCGGGTCCTCCCCCTCCCCGGCCAGGGGTTTTTTCATAAAATGTGTTTAGGGGTCCCCAACCGCCAAGGGAGGAACACAATTACCCCACGCTGCACCCTGCCCCGCAATCCCCGGGACTCCCAACTCCACAATCCCGGCCAAGCCGCCCCCTCGCACGTCCACACCCGCGGCGCCTCTCCGCCCCGCGCCGGCCAGAGCGTCCCCTCCCGCCCCGACCCCTCCTCAGCCCCGTCTGCCGACAGCCAAGCTCCGGGCCTCGGGACCGCCCCTGCCCCAGTCCTCCGGCCCCCTCCTCCCATTTCACCACACAACTCCCTCGACTCCACTTCGGCGCCGGGGCCCCCACACCGTCCTCGCCCGGGGCCCGCGCCGCCGCTCACCCAGACACGAATCTTGCAGCTCGCTGTAGTTGGGCTTCCCTGCGAGGCACGGAGGGCTTCCTGACCAGAAAGAGCGCGGCATGGTGGTCGAGGCAGCGGGAGGCGGGGTCGCGCAGCGGCCACAGAAAGCTCCACTCGCCAGGCCGTGCCGCGGCGCTGTGAGTGCGGACCGCCGCCGACGCCTTAACTACCCCGGCGCCGGCGGGCGGGGCCGCGGGCGCCACGCCCCCTTTGTCACCCCCGCGCCAATCGGAGGCGCGCCCCGGCCGGAGGCCACGCCCCAAGCAGGTGCGCCGGGGACTGGCGGGGCTCGCGCCGCGTGGCGCTGAGGGCCGGGGGCGGGGGCCCGGCCGGGGCGCTCCGGCGCCCGCAGCTGGGATCGCGCCGAGAGCTCGTGGGGGGCGGGCGCCCGGGGTTGGGGGGAACCCCCGCGCGGCGGAACTCGGGCGGGACGCGGCGCCCCAGCCCGCTCAGCGCCCCCTGGCGCCGCGCGCCGCCGGTCCCGGCACCTGACCTCCCGAGACCCGCCCGGGGCCGCGGGTTCGCCGGGGGGCCGGAAGCCTCCTCCGCCGGAGTCGGCGGGAGACCGTACACAGCGCCGGGCGGGGGACGGGGGGCGGACACCCTCGCGTGGCGCCTGGCCACCCGACGTGCCAGCGACCTGGCCGCGCGCGTCCGTGCCCGCACCCGGCACGTGGTCGCTCGGGGTCTCTAGCGAGGGCAGCTCCCGCCGGGCGGGGAGGCAGGCGGGGTAAACATGATTATACTGCCCAGGCAGGTGTGCTTTGAAGAGGCGGCACGCGGGGACCGTCCGGGGGGCGGGTCACCTGACAGGGGGTCAGGGGCGACTTCCCGAGGAAGTGAGGAACATCGAGGAGGAAAGGCCCCCGGGTGGGGGTGGGGCGCGGGACTCCAGGGGAGGCCTCGGAGGAGCCTGGACTTTGCCTCGGGGGCGCTGGGGAGCGACCAGCACTGGAGCAGGGCCGGGCAGGGGCGCCCCCGACCGGGGCCAGCTGTCTCGGGGGTGGGGAGCGGGTCGGGGGGGGGGGCGAAGACAGCTGGCCCTGCCCCCAGCCCCCCTGCAAGGCTTGACAGCCCCGCGAGGTGTGCATCATCCCACAAGCTGCGTGTGAGCTCGGTTCCACCTGTGGTACCGGGACTGCCAGAGGTGGCAGTCAGACCTGCTGGGCCTCTGCTCAAAGCTCGCCCGCGGTCCTGCCTCAGAGTCAAGCCGGAGGCCTCGCCGAGAGGGCTCAGCCCGCCAGGCCGGCCCCTGCCGGCTTTCCACAACTCTCCCTTCCCCCAGCCTGGCCTGTTCCTGCAGCACACCAGCCCTCTTCCGCCCGCCGCAGGACCCAGGCACCTGCCACCCACCCTCTCCTGCCTGAATCTCTCCCGCTTCGCCTTCTCTGTGCCCGCGGGCTGCAGTTTACCAGCCGCCCCGCCTCCGTACTGATGAGATAAATGCAAATGAGACCACGGCGCGATTCCATTTCACGCCCAACAGAAGGACAAAAAGTAAAGTTCGCTCCCTGGTGGGTGAGGATGTGGGACTGGCCGGGGGGGTGGGGTTGGGGGGCACAGCCCATGGGGGAGCGCCTGGCCTCAGTCCCCCGCAGGTGATCCCACTCAGCCCTGTTCCCCGACCAGTGGCATCCCAGAAGCTCAGCCCTAACTTTCCCTGGGGAATTCGGTCCCTCCCAAGCACACCCAGATGATGTCTGCGTGGGGGCCTCTGGGGTAAGCGGCTTGAAAAGCTCCCTCCCCTGGTATTCTAATGAGCAGGCAACCTCAGAACCACCACCCCGAGGAACAAGAGAATATTCACGGCACCCCGTTCCTGACAGCGAAACGACACGGTACCACCCAAACGCTTGCCAGCAGCGTCCTGCAGTAACACGCCGCGGTGTAGCTCTGCCTCGGAACACGATGCAGCAGTGCGCACGGACAGCAGCAGTGATGAACCTCAGAACACACGGGGCTGGGCAGAAACAGCTGCACCCAGCTGCATTCGGTAATTAGAATTACACGAGGCTCAAAGCCGGCTGACAGCCTCTCCCAGGGACGCAGACCTGGCTGTGTGGAGCTGGTAACAGTGGAAAGAGCAAGGAGGTGTTTAATGTAAAATTGCGAATACTGTTTGGCTGGGGGGACAGGGTAAGGCATTACCTGGAATTCTGGGAATATTCTGTTTCCTGAAGTGAGATCTGAACCCACCTGGTATGAATGGTATACTTAACACACGCCCTTCCGGCGCCCATGGCTCACTAGGCTAATCCTCCGCCTGCAGCGCCGGCATCCAATATGGGCCCGGGTTCTAGTCCCGGTTGCTCCTCTTTCACTCCAGCTCTCTGCTGTGGCCCGGGAGGGCGGTGGAGGATGGCCCAAGTGCTTGGACCCTGCACCCACATGGGAGACCAGGAGGAAGCACCTGGCTCCTGGCTTCGGATCGGCGCAGCTCCAGCCATAGCGGCCATTTGCAGGGTGAACCAATGGAAGGAAGACCTTTCTCTCTGTCTCTCTCACTGGCTAACTCTGTCAAATAAATAAAAATTTTTAAAAAAAAACCGTGTCTTGATAACTGTAGCCATAGTAGGACCCACCCCACCCCCAGCACCTACGGTATAGCCCATCATCCTGTTCTCTCTCTTTAAAAATATTTGTTTATTTATTTGAAAAAGCAGAGTGACAGAGAGTGAAATCTTCCATCCTCTGGTTCACTCCACAGTCAGGGGCTGGGAACTCCACCTGACTCTCCAGGTGCTGGCCGGAACCCAAGCACGTGGGCAGGCGCACGAGCAGGAAGCTGGACAGACAGGGAGTAGCGATGCGGGGCGGGAACAGGTGCTCCACGAGGTGTCCCTGGCAGGGCGAGGCGCCGGCCCCACCCGGGGTATCCGCAGAGCAGCAGCAGGGCTCACTGCGGCCTCTCCCAGCCCCACCTCCTCCCCACGGGGTCAGCCTGGGCGAACGACCTGGCTTCCCCCGGCCTGTTTCCCCGACGGCTGAAAAGTGGGCGGTGCTCACCTCCGGGAGATGCCCCCATCGGTAAAGGGGCACCCCGGGTCCGGTCAGGCACAGCGCCAGGCAGCAGACCTCTGTCCGCGCGGGACCTGGTCTGGCTGAGTTGCCCCTCGCGCCCCGCCTGGCTGCCCCTCGCCTTCCTGCCTGCCAGAGCGGGCGGTGGAGACCACGGAGTAGCCTCGGGCTGCGCACCGGCTGTGGCCCCGGGCGGCGAGAAGGCGAGAAGGCGAAGGGATTCTGCTGATGCTGTGACGTCAGCGCTTCCCGCAATGGGCGACCTCTTCGGCCGCGGGCCGGCCGGGCCCTGCCCTTCCCCGAGGCGTCCGGCCACGTCCGCCGCCCCCCACCCCCGGGGCGCGCTCCTCGGCCGCCCTCTGCTGGTTGAGACGCCTCCCGGGATCCGTCGCGGGCTGCTGGGCGCGGGAAAGCGGGTTCGGCTTTGGATAGCAGTTGGGGAACAGGAGAAATGGACCAGATGCGCGCGTTTGGGGCAGGTGTCCGAAAGGGAGGCGAGATCTACAACCATCAGGAGGGTCTCCGTCCGCGGGGAGAGGTTTTCCAAGGTCCCGGAAGTGGGAGATGTGTGCACGTGGCTGTAACGATATTCAGCCTTCTGAAAACGGGTCCACGCAGCCCCGGCCCCCGGAGCTGACCTCCTGCAGGGGATCACGCAGGACATCAGGATCACGTAACAGCTGTCTCTTGCTGCTGCGAATCAGGTGGCAATTCCGGGAATGTCTTTGTCGCACATCCTGCACTCCAGGTCAAACGTTACACAAAACGCTGACACATGTGTCCACCCGACCGCCAAAGAGGCCCCAGGACACTGCACTCCCGCCAGCAGCGGCCCCCGGGGGCGTGGTGGGCCCTGTTTTCCTCTCTGTCCATCCGATCAGAGAAGCAGGGTCACCTGGCTGCGGTCTGCATTTCACGTGCAGGGGGCGGGGCTTTCTCACCTGCTCTGAAGCCGGCTGCCTTGTGTGTATTTTTTTTTTTTTTTTTTTTTGACAGGCAGAGTGGACAGTGAGAGAGAGAGACAGAAAGGTCTTCCTTTTGCCGTTGGTTCACCCTCCAATGGCCGCCGCGGCTGGCGTGCCAATCCGAAGCCAGGAGCCAGGTACTTCTCCTGGTCTCCCATGGGGTGCAGGGCCCAAGCACTTGGGCCATCCTCCACTGCACTCCCGGGCCACAGCAGAGAGCTGGCCTGGAAGAGGGGCAACCGGGACGGAATCCGGCGCCCCGACCGGGACTAGAACCCGGTGTGCCGGCACTGCAAGGCGGAGGATTAGCCTCATGAGCCGCGGTGCCAGCCGTTCTGTGTGTTCTGAACACAGCATTGTTTCAGGACTCCACGCTGGTGCTCATCTTCATTTCTTCTCTTTTTTCTTTTTAAAGAAAATTTACTTATTTGAAAGGCAGAGTTACAGAGCGGCAGAAGCAGAGAAAGAAGTCTTCCATTGACTGGTTCACTCCTGAGCCAAAGCCAGGAGCCAGGAGCTCCTTCCAGGTCTCCCACTTGGGCAGTCTTCTACTGCTTTCCCAGGCCATAGCAGAGAGCTGGATCAGAAGTGGAGCAGCTGGGACTTGAACCAGCCCATATGGGATGCTAGCACTGCAGGCAGCGGCTTTACCCGCTACGCCAAGCGCCGGCCCCTCTTTATTTCTTCTTTTTTATTTGACAGGCAGAGTTAGACAGCGAGACAGAGAGTAAGAGAAAGGTCTTCCTTCCGTTGGTTCACCCCCAAAATGGCTGCCACGGCTGGCGCTGCGCCGATCCAAAGCCAGGAACCAGGTGCTTCTCCTGGTCTCCCATGCGGGTGCAGGGCCCAAGCACCTGGGCCATCCTCCACTGCACTCCCTGGCCACAGCAGAGAGCTGGCCTGGAAGAGGAGCAACCTGGACAGAACCGGCGCCCCAACCGGGACTAGAACCCGGGGTGCTGGCGCCGCAGGCAGAGGATTAGCCTAGCGAGCCACGGCGCCGGCCTCCTCTTCCTTTCCAGGAGCTCCGAGTCTGGTAGGCTAAGTGGCCTCTGGCAACTGGCTCACCAGTCGGAGG